AGTATCACCTTGCAACCCAAGCATGCTCGTTTGTCATTTCTTCTTGCGAGGACAAAGTCAATCTGGCTAGAGTGTTGTCCGCTACTGAAGGTCACTAGATGAGATTCTTTCTTTCTAAAGAAAGTGTTGGCTATCATCAGGTCAAAAGCTACCGCGAAGTCCAGAACTTCCTCCCCCTCCTAATTCCTACTACCATACCCAAAACCTCCATGAACTGCCTCGAAACCTGCGCTTGTAATACCTACATGCCCATTAAGATCTCCTATAAAAAGCTTCATTCAAATCCAACAATTCAACAAAATAGAATGCCATAGTTCTGGTATTCGTATACAGGGCAATTACAGATCACATCCTCAAAATCATAAAACCATCCCTGCGCCTGATCTGTAATACTCAAAACTGGTAGCAGCTAAATCCTATTCCACTACAAACTATCACCCCAATTTAATATTAAACTTATCATAACATTGCCAAATTATTTCATTCAAAACCAACAATTCAACAAAATAGAATGTCATAGTTCTGATGTTCCTATACAGGGCCAATACAGATCTATTAGAGATATGTATAAGTCTAACTCATGTATATTGTATCTTGCCTATATATATGAGATCCACCCCTCCCTAATGGGAGTGAGAGGTGTTTTCCCAATCTTCTACATGAGTGAGAGGGGTTCTCCAAATCTTCTACTTGGTATCGGAGCCCCAGGCCCCTTCCCCGTCTTCTCACCTGCCTTGACTCGCGCCGCCGATCCCACCGCTGCTCACCCACTCCTCGCGATGCTCCTCTGCACTGCCAGCCCGTTCTACCTCCCTTACCGCCTCCACTCGTGTAGCCGCAGCCACTTCCCCTTCTTCACGGCCGCGCGCACCCCCTGCAAGCACGCAAACCTACACGGTCCCACACCGCCGCCTCATGATCCCACCGCGCGGCTCACGATTCGTCTCTGTAGCACGCGCCTCCCCTTCGCTCGCTCGTGCGCAGCGCGTGCCCGCTCGAGGCCCATCCTCCGTGCGGTCCCTTCGTGCGCCTCCCGTGTTTCCCCGCGCGCCGCTCGCCCCCTGCTCGCGCGCCCCCTGCTTCCCCGCGCACCACTCTCCTCTGCTCGTGCGCCTCCTCTCTCGTGCGCCTGCATCCAGACTCGTCCCTACCATCCACGAAGCCCGTGCGCGTGACTCCAGGTCGTGGGCCGCGGTCTCCTCCCACGTGCTCGCGACGACTCAAAGTCGCGGGTGGCGGTCTCCTCTGCTCCCACGTGCTCACGACGACTCAAAGTCGCGGGTCACGGTCTCCTCTGCTCGGTCTTCGGGTCACGCTCTCGGTCTCCTCTGCTCCACGCATGCCACTACCCGCCGTGCAGCCTGCAGCGCCTGTGATCTTCCCTCGCACGCTGCGCTGGTCTGCCTCGATGCCGCCCAATTCCTCTGCCTCCTTTGTTGGTCCTCTGCCTCAACAGCTGCCGTAGACGGCCTGTCATGGACAGGGCATTATTCGGCCGGCTCCTCAGACTCCTACAGTCTTCGCGCCCGCGCAGTCCCCTCCTCCGCTACGTGCCCAGCAGCAGGTTGGCCCCTCGCCGCCCGGCCCTCTCCGGGTACCAACACTTGGGTGCTCGACACTGGAGCTACATCCCACGTCATCCTCGGATAGTATCTTACTCACTCGTCTTCCTCACTCCTCTTCATCTATCTCTGTGGCCAATGGTCAGTCCATGCCCGTCCTCACTCGTGGCACTTCCATTCTTCCCACAGCCGTCACTTCCTTTTCCCTCAACAATGTTCTTGTTGCCCCTGCTCTTGTGCACAATCTTCTCTCTGTTCGTCAGTTTACCCGTGATAATAATTGTTCCATTGAATTTGATGCTTCTAGGTTTTCTGTCAAAGACCCCTTAACAAGATGCGTCCTCCTTCGCTGCAACAGCAGTGGCAATCTCTACACCATCTCACCATCCTTCCCATCCACTGCAGCTAGTTGTAGCCTAGTTGTCCCATCCACCCTATGGCATCACCGCCTGGGTCATCCAGGAACATGTCGGTCATCATGTGTACCCACGCAGCGTGATCCTTGTGTCATCCCTGTCAGCTTGGCAAACACAAATGTCTGCCTTTTGCTCCTTTTGCTACTTCAGCATCCACAACGTTAGAACCCTTTGCTCTCATTCATTGTGATGTCTGGACATCTCCAGTCCTTAGCATTTCGGGTAACAAATATTATTTGGTCCCCCTTGATGATTTCACTCATTTCTGCTGGACTTTTCCTCTGCGCCAAAAATCCGAAGTCTATGGTCACTTTGTTGCCTATGTTCAAACTCACTTTAACTCTGTTTCCAAGTGCTTTCAGGTCGACAATTGCACTGAGTTCATCAATAACGCCATGTCTACCTTCTTGTCCAGTCGCGGCATTTTGCTTCGCCATTCTTGCCCTTACACTTCACAGCAGAATGGCAAAGCTGAGCGTATGCTTCGGACCATCAACAACACCATCCACACCCTCCTCATCCATGCTTCCATGCCGCCGACCTACTAGGCCGAGGGGCTTGCTACAGCCACGTATGCGCTTAACCGACGCCCGTCCTCTTGTCAGCAACATCCTATACCAGCTCCTTCATGGCTCTTTCCCTGAGTACTCCCACATTCGCGTGTTTGGCTGTCTATGTTATCCTAACCTTAGTGCCACGACTCCCCACAAACTCGCACCTCGTTCCGCACCTTGCGTGTTTATCGGGTATCCCTCTCCCCACAAGGGGTACCGGTGCCTCGATATTTCTACGCGACGTGTGATCATCTCCCAACACATCGTGTTCGACGAGTCGGTGTTTCCGTTCGCTGCCGCACCATCGGGTGCATCTTCTCTTGACTTTTTGATACAGGACACTTCTTCTACTGTATGGGGCTGTCTATCAGCATCGGTCGCCGCCGCCTCCTGCTGACCGCCGCTTTACCAAAGGTCTACCAGCGCCGCCCGTCTTCGTCATCGTTACTTGCGACGGACGGGGCTGAGCCGTCTACTGTTGTGACAACGACCAACACGTCAGGTCAGCCTCTCCGTGCTCTGCCCTCTCGTCGGGTCACCTCTAGGGTGCTGCAGCCGCCTGCGCCACCTCCACAGCCTATGCAGGGCACGACGTCGCCGCCTCCACCCCTCCCGCGGGCATTCACTCGATTACAGACGGGTGCTGTGCAGACCGTTAACTACAAGGGTCTCTATGCAACATCGACATCTTCGCTTCCTGGCAACTATCGCAACGCGTTAGCTAACCCGAACTGGCGTGCTGCTATGGTGGACGAGTATCAGGCCCTCATCGACAACAACACTTGGCGTCTTGTACCTCGGCCCCCGCCGCCAACATTGTGACGGGCAAGTGGATATTTAAGAACAAGTTCCACTCTGATGGCTCTCTTGCCCACCACAAGGCTCACTGGGTCGTTCGCGGCTTGTCTCAGCAACACGGCGTCGACTACGACGAGACCTTCAGTCCGGTTGTCAAGCCAGCCACCATTCGTGTTGTGCTCAGCATTGCAACTTCACGGAAGTGGCCCATTCATCGGCTCGATGTGAAGAATGCCTTTCTTCATGGCGATCTTAGACTGTCTACTGTCAGCAGCCGTCTGGCTTCGTCGACCCGTCGTCCCCTAACTTGGTTTGCCTCTTGCAAAAGTCGTTGTACGGCCTCAAGCAGGCACCTTGCGTGTGGCATCAACGGTTTGCCACCTACATCTACAAACACGGCTTCTCTGCGGCGAAGTTCGACACATCTCTCTTTATTTATAAAGATCAAGATGATGTCGCCTACCTGCTACTATACGTCGACGACATTGTACTAACGACGTCCTCTCCTGCTCTACTACGGCGCATCACCAATCGTCTCAACTCGAGTTCGCCAAGACAGATCTTGGCGCTCTCCATCACTTCCTTGGCATCTCCGTCATGCGCTCCTCCGACGGCTTGCTCCTGTCCCAGAGACAGTATGCCGTCGGGCTGGCATGTCTGAGTGTCACCCCACGATGACTCCGGTTGACTCTCGGTCCAAGCTGCGTGCGACTACCGGCAACCCCGTTGCTGACCCCATGGACTGTAGTCTGGCTGGCGCCCTACAGTACCTCACGCTGACTCGGCCCGACCTCGCCTACGCTGTTCAGCAAGTCTGCCTCTTCATGCACGACCCACGAGAGCCCCATCTTGCCCTGATCAAGCGCATTCTACGCTATGTGAAGGGCACTTCAACGCCGGTCTACACCTCGGCATTTGCAGCGTGTCATCCATCACAGCATACTCCGACGCTCAATGGGCTGGATGTCCAGACTCTCGGCGCTCTACATTAGGCTACTACGTCTTCCTCAGAGACAAGCTAGTTTCCTAGTCTTCAAAACGGCAGACCACGGTGTCTCGGTCCAGTGCGGAGGCGGAGTACCGAGCTGTTGCTCACGCCGTTGCTGAGTGTTGTTGGTTGCGCCAGTTGTTTGAGGAGCTTCATATCTCGATCCCTTCGGCGACCATTGTCTATTGCGACGAGCGCAGTCTACATGACTGCCAATCCAGTTCATCATCGTCGCACAAAGCATATTGAGATTGACATTCACTCCGTTCATGAGAAGGTGGCTTTGGGGCAGTTCAGAGTGCTACATATACCCTCAGCTCATCAGTTCACGACATTATGACTAAGGGACTGCCTGTACAGTAGTTCAATGACTTTAGGTCCAGTCTCTGCATCCAATTCCCTCCCGCTATGACTGCGGGCGGGTATTAGAGATATGTATAAGTCTAACTCATGTATATTGTATCTTGGCTATATATATGAGATCCACCCCTCCCTAATGGGAGTGAGAGGTGTTCTCCCAATCTTCTAAAAGATCACATCCTCAAAATCATAAAATCAATGCGCCGGATCTATAATACTCAGAATTGGTAGCAGCTAAATCCTATTCCACTACAAACTATCACCCCAATTTAATATTAAACTTTAAGCAACAAAAAGTGAAAGATTTGTATCAATAAAATTTTCAATTTCTTGCTATAAACTCCACTGCTACTGTAGACAAAAATACATCCAACATTGACATCATAGTTAGCACAAAAGCAAAATTGACAAAGCACATATATTGATAAATGGTATAGAACAAGCAATATGTGAAATAGGATAAGAAGATTCCTCCCTTGGAACAACACAAGATATATAGGAAAAATATATGCTTCTCTGGTAAAAATATATTGGAGATAGAGTAGAGTAATTAAGATCACAAAAATAGTATCTTGGACTTGGCTCAGAAAATATTTCTTAAAATGGTATGAAGACTTGATCAACTCCAGAAGGTTATGGTGTGGAAATACAAAATACAAAAGGATAAGAAACTAAATAGAACTCACCAAAAGTTAGTCTCTTCCTAAATGTAGCCTTCATGATTGTATATTTTTCAACCATAGAAGACACATTGCCAATAGCTTCTTGCTGCACAGCATCTGACGAGCCAACCGGTTGAAGTGATTCACTGCAAGCATTGCCTACTCTATTTTGGCAGTAACCACTGACAATATACGGTCTATTCTCCAAATATAAACGTTTCAGAGAAGCAGTAGCCACAACTTGTGGCTGTTTTTGGCCCCTTCTGCGAAAATTATAGGGTTCTGGCCAAGGAACAGGGCATTCAGACATGAAATAAATATGAGACAAGACAGGTAATCAATCTAAATAGGGCACTCTTTAGTAAAATAAAAACTATTAAATTTATATCATATGCATAAATATGCAACTTCAATCAAAATGGTACTGCAAGGAGTCAAGGATATTAACCACCAAACCTAAACCATAAAAACATCTGAATGACAACCCCTTAAGTAAATAAAACATGGGACCAAAAAATCTAATTAATATCATAGTAAGGTGATTTTTTTAATGCGCGATTAAACTTAGTATACAGAGAACAATAAGAAGCTCCTTGTCCCTGTCAAATTAACAGTGCTTGTTCTCTTACCAGTCCTTGCACAACCAGATGATGAAACCACATCCGTCTGAACTACCTGGACAGGTTCAGCAGGGTCACTTTCTAGAGATGGACGTTCAGCAGATGGCTGTCTATGCTTTTTGCAGTACGAGAGTAAACGAATACAAGGATCCTCGTCTTCATCAAGATACATGTGATGGATTTTGTCATCATTTTCAAGCTAAAATTAACAAAACAGGTCCACATAATGGAAATACATGTTAGTCGAGGCAAAAAAAGTAATCATGGAGTAAATAACCAGCAGAAAAAAAGACTAGTAAGGTACCTCAATGCAAAGGTCAGCAGCACGTGCACAAAGAGGGTGATACGCAACACGACAGGTAGGATGAGAACACTGTGTTGATACAAGAAGAGTTATAACATGTTTTGATCATCCTATCAGTAGCTTCAACCAACTGTAAAGTACCTGTATACATACTCCATACGAAACTCCGCAGATGCTGCATACAAGTTTCCAACGGTCCTGGAATGACAAACTACAATGATGAGCAATGATGTTTCTACAGAAATACTAAAAGATTGAAGTAAGCAGTTCACACCAAAAGGCAAAGAGAGGGAGACCTTGTTGATTCTGCTCAGTCCATCAATCGGTTCCATTCTCTTTACATCTTTTAAGCATGTTTCTGTGACAGAATAGAAGATTGAGAGAACAAAAAGCATGTCATGTCACAACAACAAGATGATTTAGGACAAGTGAAGTGAATACCAGGGATCCATATAGCGCATGCGAGATGAGCCCAACGGCCATCTGTTGTAGGTTTCATTGCACCACCTAAAGAATGTTTTACATCCCATTAGTAATACTTCATTATGCATTGACATGGGATGAAAGTCTGTACCTGTGACTGGACATAGACAGCATTTTGGAGACACACGAGGTGCACCTGGTCGACACAAGTTGCAAAGCCAAAGTCCTCCGTCCAATTGTTTAAGTTCACCATAACATCTAGCATGAACCTGGATCATGTTTTAAGGCATTTGTAAACACTTCCATGCTCGATAACCTGGGCCAAGATAAAATGTCTTTCATACCATCATACGGCACTTGTCGCATTGCAAGAATAAGTTGTCTTCATACTCCTGGATGCAAAACAAAGATCAGTAAGTTTCAGATTGATTACAACCTAGGGAATAACCTATGTGAGAACAGGAACAAGATTGTTTACCTCATCCATATCACAAACATTGCAACAGTCCAGATCTTTCCAGTTAACATGAACCGCTCTATAACCAAGGATAGTGTCCCCACCGTTCTCAAAATATTTCAGACATGACCTTGCATTGGGCAATTCCTGACAAATACACAATTGAACTCGAAGTTAAGGATGAAATTCAGTATCCGCCACAAGTCCAGGACAAAAAGAGATAAGTAAAAGCTATGATCAAGAGAAATGCATGAGCCTTTTGTAAACTAAATTGAACTGTTTTGTGTTTTTTTTTTTTGTGTGTGTTGGTGTGAGTTTGTAATGGTTCTCGCCCCTTTTCTTCTTAATGCAGAGAAACACAGCTCTCCTGTGTTTTTGAGAAAAAAAAATCACTTAGTTGTAGAGGTTGATTTGATCTTCTAATTGTGCTTTTCAGGAGCTAGGGACAGGGAGAATTCTTGGGACTAGGGCCGTGCATGGACTATATTATCTTGATGAAGTAATGAAGTTGCTTTTGCGACCAAGAAGTCTCCATGTCAAGAATTCTTGTTGCAATGGCTTGTGGTTATCCATCTCCTTTTAATGAATGCTCTAAGGAATCTCTTAGATGTAATGCATGTGAGTTTACTACTTTACTAAACATACAAAGGTTCCCTATCCAAGTTTGGATTTAAGAAGTGACCAACCATTTGAAATTATTCACTCTGATGTTTGGGGGCATAGAAGAGTTGCGACTTTTATCGAAGGTTTTAGTCGATATACTGGGTTTTATTTGCAAACACATAAAACCTTTACCAAAAATAAACTCGGCAACGCTGTAAAAAGCCTTACACTCTTGCCAGGAGTTTCAACAATTTCTTGAATGGTATTGAGCACCAAAGATCAAACTATCTATGCTAACACTCCAGTGCGAAATGGTGTTGCTGAACAAAACAATAGGCATTTAATTAAGGTTGCTTGTTCACTTATGTTTACAATGAACATTCCTAAATTTCTTAGGGGGAACAGTGTAAAGATAGCAACATATTATTCAATCAAATGCTTCTTCGAGTTCTTGGTAATAAATTTCCAAGTTCTTGGTATTAAATCTCTAGTTGAGTTACTTTTGAAATCAATGAATTTGTTATTTCTACAAAGGTTTTTGGATATGTGTGCTTTGTTTATGATTATTATAGAAATAATATACTGGAAAACTTGATCCTCATGCTGTCAAATGTGTGTTTGTTAGTTATTCCCCTACTCAAAAGGGTTACATATGTAGGTATCCTTCCGAGCATCATTTCTTTGTATGGACATGACTTTTTGTGAATACTAACCATATACAGCCCAACCAATGATACTGAAATTACTATATCCACATCTTAAGTACAACAAGAGGGGAGGGTAACATATGCGCAAAAAAAAAAAAAAAAAAAAAAAAAAAGAGAGGGGAGGGTAACAGTGGAGGCACTCTTGTGGGCTTTATTGGTATCCCTACTTCAATTATGTCACCTAATAGACAAAGTTCAAGTCAGGGAGGTGACAAATGATCGTAATAGCAATGGTGATGATGCTAATTCTTGCCACAGACTTATGCAAGATAATCTGCCTTCTCAGAATATAGAGTCTATTATGCATGAGAAGCCAGATAATATAACTCAATCTCCCAATCATATTGCTCTATCAAGCACTTTAGAGCAAGGTGAGAATCAATCATTTACTCAAGTTTCTCACAATGACTTTCCTATTGCCTTGAAAACCACATAGATCCTCAAATATTCCTCAAAAATTATGTTGGGTATTGCCAACTTCATGTCCTATAAAAATTGTAGTTCTCCTACCAAAGTATCATTGGCTCTCTACCCATTCCACATCCATAACCATCAACTAGAATTCTAGAAATTGGCTAAAGATGACCTAAGTGCAGAAAATGCTAGAAGAGGTAAAGGCTTCAGAAAAAAAATAAAACTTGGGAGCTTGTGGATCTACCACCATGTAAGTAACCTATATGGTGCAAATGAATTTTCACTATTAAGCATACACTAGAATGAAAGGTGGCTAGGTACAAAGCTCGTTTAGTTGCAAAGTGGTAACACTTGTATCTTATGATGTTAATTTGGATTGGGAGAAGATATATCAGATGGAAGTGAGGATGTGAAAAAATGCATTTCTCTATGGTAATCTTCATGAAGAAGTATAGATGCATATTCCACCTGGATTTGGAATAGATCAAATCAATGTAAAAGTGCATCATTTGCATCGATCTTTATATGGGTTAAAAGAATTACCAAGGGTTTGGTTTGATCGCTTTAGACGATCAATCCACAAGAGAGGTGATCCAAAGTAATGCTAATCATACACTATTCTATAAGCACGCTCCAAACAAGGTGGCAATTCTAATAGTGTATGTGAATGATGCTGAAATTTTTTATTTGAAAAGATATCTTGCACGAGAGTTTGAAGCAAAAAGATTGGGAGGAAATTGAGAAAGTTCCTTGGAAGTGAAATCTCCCAGGGTCCTAAAAGGATGTTTCTATCTCAAAGAAAATAAGTTCTAGATATACTAAAGGAAACTATGTTCTTCCAACATAGTTGAAACTATTTAGGAGCAAGCCTTTGATGTTGTATTGTTACAACAAAGTAATTATTGGTATAGCCAACAATCCTATTCATCATAGTAGAACCAAGCATATTGAGATTGATCATCACTTTATTAAGGAGAAGCTGGATAGAGAAATGATTTGCCTGCACTATGTACAATTAGAATCAGATAGTAGGGTTTTGTATGTCTTGGTTAAAGGATTGATATTTTCTACATTTTGTAGCAAGATGGGTCTATATGATATTTTTGCACCATCTTGAGGGGGAGTGCTGGTGTGTGCTGTAAATATGAATATTATGACCCGTTTGGCACAGCTCTAGCTCCAAGATCTATGCAGTTTGCAGACTAAATTAAAGTGGTTTAAATATTTTTTTTATTTAATCTAAAAATAAATTAAATGAGTCATGTAAATGCACTTAACATGCCTGCACCTCCAGATCTAGGATTTCCTAGAGCTACAAGTGACCAGCTCTAGGAAATCCAGCTAGAGCCTAGAGCTCTGCCAAACAGGGCCATAGTTAGGGACTAAAATGCAAAGACCAAAGAGAGAGAAGGAACAAGTTCTATCTCCAAAATTTACAGCTTCCTCTATCCCAAATCTGAAATTCTACCTCGATCATCCAATTTCTTCTTAGGACAAGTACTATAAGACAAGAACAAATTTAGTATCCACAAATAAATTCAAGTAATATAGTTGGGCCTATATATTGGCCTAAACTGATGAAAAAAGTTTCTAGATATAGGGATGGCTACGAAAAGTAAGCCAAGGGTACAAAACAAATACATGGATCAAAGATGAATAATTGTCTAGCCCAAGCCCCAATGCAGAACTCAATAAAATTTAAACTAATATAAAAGAAAATGTCTTCCAGATATTTCGTTTCAAACCTGAATAAGCTGCCTTATCTGCGGATTTGAAAAGCCAAACATGTAGGAACCAGACTTTTGGCATAAGTTTCTTTCCAATTCAGTAGCAGCATTGCACTGTTTTTCCTTTATTCTGCAGTATATCTCTTTCCAACATGCATTTGGGGTAGATCCATCAATCTGAACATCATATAGGCTCAACATTAGGGAAATGTACAGATTTGGAACTAGAAATTTGTCATGACGCTGTTATTTCCACGGCATACAAATAATTTTGATGATAATCATCAAAATCTGCTCTTTTCCATAAAAACTACACGGAAACTATTAATAAAAACCATAAGTGTTACTGAATTGGTTTGGGTAACAGACCACATGATGTTACTTAACAAGGAATAACAGAAATAGACTTCCACCAGAGAAATAGAAATACGTTAAATCAGGCTTTCGACTAAAGTTTAACTTGGTGTTCAGAATGCAGTTAGAAAATTGTTAAGACACTGTCAAGCTGAATTCATAACCATTTTTCAACCCCATGTACCAAAATGATTTTATACATTTTCTACCTTTTTCATCTAATCTGATAACTAAAAAGGGATGTACTGAAACATAAAATATTAGCCAAGGTTTAGCTTGCTATTTCTAGTTTAAATTTGTTAAGTAACATCATGAGAAACAGACATTCAAGTGAAGTGCCTTAACTGCACCGGATCCGTAATATTTATAGATATTATATTAAGCAATCCAAGGCCTAAATTATCCTTAGAACAACTTTAATGAAAGCAAACAACAACAACAACAACAAAGCCTTTTAGTCCCAAACAAGTTGGGGTAGGCTAGAGTTGAAACCCAACATGAGCCCCTAGTCATGTTTCAGGCACGTCAATAGCTATTTTCCAAGCACTCCTATCCAAACAGAGCATTCCTATCCATGTCAGCTTTAGTCTTCCTCTACTTCTCCTCACATTGATATCTCGACTTAGAACTCCGCAATGCACTGGTGCCTCTCGAGGTCTCCTTTGGACATGGCCAAATCACCTCAGCCGATGTTGGACATGCTTTTCTTTAATTGGTGCTACCTCTAGACGATCACGTATATCATCGTTCCGAACTCAATCCATCCTTGTGTGACCACAAATTCAACAACATACGCATTTCCGCGACACTCAGTTGTTGGACATGTCGACTTTTTGTTGGCCAACAATCTGCTCCATATAACATAGCGGATCTAATCGCTGTTCTATAAAACTTGCCTTTAAACTTTTGTGGTACCCTCTTGTCACAGAGAATGCCAGATGCTTGGCACCACTTCATCCACCCTGCTTTAATCCTATGACAAACGTCTGCATCAATATCTCCATCCTTCTGTAGCATCGATCCTAGATAACAGAAGGTATCTTTCTTAGGCACCACTTGACCTTCCAAACTCACCTCTCCCTCCTCATGTGTAGCGTTGCCAAAGTCACATCTCATGTATTCTGTTTTAGTTCGACTTACTCTAAAACCTTTTGACTCAAGGGTCTGCCGCCACAACTCCACAACATCAGTCCCTTGACGACACAAACAGTGAAGTATCAGACTTGGTCTCCACAAATCCCAATGACAGCAGAAATGTCGCGAAGCGACTGTACCATGCACGAGGAGCTTGCTTGAGGCCGTATAAGGATCTGTTTAGGCGACAAACAAAACTAGGATGCACTGGATCTTCAAATCCAGTTGGCTGCACTAAATAAACAGTCTCAGACAGGTGGCCATGAAGAAAAGCATTCTTGACATCCAGTTGGTGTATAGGCCAGTTCCGAGATAGAGCTAGCCAGAGGACAGCAAACTGACGGCGACGCCAAAGTGTCGTGGACGTTTCCTTTACGACTCAAATCTGACACCTTTGCCACACTGTCTAACTTTTTTACCTATGCCGCTACTCGGTTTGGTGTCACCATCGAGGCGGTGCAGTGCGATAATGGTCGTGAGTTTGACAACTCTCATACCTGTGCTTTCTTCCTCGCCCGTGGCACCCATCTTCGCATGTCTTGTCCCTATACTTCAGCTCAAAATGGCAAGGAGAGCGAGTCCTTCGCTCTACTAATATTGTTCGCTCTCTTCTTTTTCAAGCGAGCATGCCTCCCTGCTACTGGGCCGAAGCCCTCTCCACCGCCACCTACCTCTTCAACATCATAACCACCAAGACACTACAATCCTCTACTCCGCACCATGCCCACTTCGGTACTGTGCCCTCGTATGATCTCGTGTCTTCGGTTGTTGTTGTTACCCCAACTTCTCTTCTACCACCCCTCACAAGCTTTCTCCTCAATCTGCTTTGTGTGTTCACCTTGGCTTCTCTGATCATCACAAGGGATATCGGTGCTTGGATCTTCAGTCCAACCGAATCATCATCTCTCGCCATGTGATTTTTGATGAATCCACCTTTCCCTTCGCTGCGCAGCCCCTTCTCCTGAGGACTATGCCTTTCTTGATGATTTTACTAACCCTGTGCCTCTGCCTGTTGGCATAGCACCTTTGCTTTCCCCTGCGAGTACTTCTGGGAACACCGCACTACCACGTGTGGTAGTGCCCACTGTGTCGCTACCTCTGGACGCCACCAGCTCGGCTGTACCGCTGCTGGTTTCTCCCCTGCAGGCTGCCAGTACCGCACTGCCATGTGTGGCTGTACCCCAGCTGGCACCCCAGCCAGCTCTCCACCCGCAGGCCGGCGACGTCGCACAGCCACGTGCGCCTGTACCACAACCGGCTATTCACCCACAGGCTGCAGATTCCGCACAGCCACGTGTGGCCGCGTTGCACTCTCGTACTCCAGCGCCTGTACCGGACCGACGCTTTGATGCCATGAATGAGTATGCAGCGAATAATAGTAGATTGATTATGGGGTTACATGATACATGTATATATATAGGTAGAGATAGGGGCGGCTTACGGAAACAGAACCGACCTCCGGTATCCCTACCATATACAACTCAGTGTACACCCTTGTTGGATAAGGAACCCAACACAATGAAGCTACAAGAGCTGGCCGAAGGCCCAGACCCAGGCCAGCCACATACGGCTGTCTTACATTTAAGCATCCAATTTGACATACCATGATGGATAAGTCTCTGTGTTGTGTTGGCTGGTCTTGCTGCCCAGCATCTTGACTGGACAGCAGCATCTTGACTGGACAGGGACTGGACAGCAGCATGGGACTGGACAGCAGCACTGCCCAACATCTTGACTGGACAGCAGCTTAGAGGCATCTTAGAACAGCATCTTAGATAACAGCATATTAGCATCTTAGACTAGCATCTTGGCATATGCTTGGCTGGCTAGCAGCCTATAAATATGTATCCCCAACCCCTCAGGTTGGCATGGCATTTGTGTGAGAAATAAACCAGAAAATTGCCCCAACTCCTAGTGTCATCCTCTCTCGATGAGAGTAAGAATTCTGCTACTACCGAGAGTGAGAGTTCAACGACTAACAACTGGTATCCGAGCCATACTATCCTGTAGTCTGAGCATCTCCTGCTCATCTCCCCTCCCAGCCCCACAACAGCCCCAGCTGTTGGCAGCAGCAGCTCCTCCGGCCGCCCCTGCTCACTCCTCTCCCTCTGCACAGACTAGCAGCAGCTCGTCTGAAGCAGCCCTCTCCCCACGCAGCAGCCCCCCGGTGGCGCGTCATGTCCGCAGGGCAGTCTCAGCGCTCGGTCGCCTCGAGCACGCGGCGTCGGCAGGTGGCCGAACTTGCCGCGGCCGAAGAACACGAGCGAGCGGCGGCAGAGACCGCTGCGGCGGCGAATGCAGCGCGTGCGGCGGCAGCGGAGGTCGAGGCTCTGCGCGGCAGCATCGGCAGCTCCATTTCCGCTGACGACACCGCCAACGCGGACCTCGAGCTGCTAGAGAGGGAGGCAGCGCGAGCGCGGGCGGCGCAGTGGGCAGCCGCGCACGCCCACGAGCGTGGCGGCTGCCCAGACAGACGCGGACGCGCTGGCGGCGCTCCTGGAGAAGGCGCGCATGGCGGTGGCGCTCCTGGGGCAGCCGCGCACGCCCACGAGCGCGGCGGCGGCCCAGACAGGCGCGGACGCGCCGGCGGCGCTCCTGGTGGAGGCGCGCACGACGGCAGCACTCCTGGAGGAGGCGCGCACGGCAACGGTGGCGGACGGGTCGATGGAGAGCGCGGCCTTCACAGGCAGCGTGACTCTCTCCCCGGATCGGTACCAACGGGTCGATGGAGAGCACGGCCTTCACAGGCAGCGTGGCTTTCTCTCCCCGGATCGGTACCGTGGTTACCACGGACTCCAGGCTGTTGTCAGGGACATCGGTCCCGGCGGTGGCTGGCCTACCCTCACCAAGACCAACTACGTCGAGTGGGCTGCGGTGATGAGGGTAAAGCTCCAGGTGCGGCACATGTGGGAGGCAGTCCGGTACGGCGACGTCGACTACGACCTAGATCGACGGGCGCTGGATGCCCTAATCGCTGCAGTCCCGCCCGAGATGTAGTTCTCGCTTACCAACAAGCGGACTGCCAAGGAGGCTTGGGACGCCATCACTGCGGCACACATCGGTAGCGACCACGCCCGCAAGTCCACACTGCAGGCGCTTCGCAAGGAGTGGGAGAACCTGACCTTCAAGCCAGGTGAGGACGTTGATGACTTTGCTCTCCGTCTCAACACTCTGTTGCAGAAGATGGTGCAGTTCGGCGATGACACCTACGGCGAGGAGAGAGCTGTCGAAAAGCTCTTTCGCTACGTCCTCGAGAAGTACAAGCAGATGGCTCGCTCAATCGAGTCCCTGCTGGATCTCTCCACGATGTCGATCGAGGAGGAGATAGGTCGCCTCAAGGTCGTCGACAGCGATGAGCCACAGTCTCTCTCGGGGCCCATCACCACTGGCGGGATGCTCCTTCTCACTCGAGAGCAGTGGCTTGCCAGCCAAGGTGACCGGAAGAAGGGGGAGCCTTCTTCCGCGACAAAGGTCGATATGCAAGCGTGGCAAGCCACGCATATGCAAAGCAGAGACGCCCCAGCCGGGCGCGAGGACGTGCCGAGGGTGATGCCGCGAGGGAGGCGCCAGGCGGCGCCACGGCAGTACAAGCCAAGACGAGACGACGCCGCCAGAATCGCGCGGCGGCGGCAGCCATTGGGCCAAGGATTGCCGACAGCCACGACGCGGCCAAGCCCACATCGCACAGGCAGAGGAGGAGCCGGCTCTGTTCATGGCACATGCAAGCATCGAGCTACCTCCGGCGGCACCGGCCGCAGTGGCTCTCCTCCACCTTGACGAGCCAAAAGCACACGCCCTCCTCGGCGCATGCAGCCCGCAAGAACGACAAGATCGACGGGTGGTGCCTCGACACCGCGCCACCCATCACATGACCGGTCGACGGAGTTCTTCACCGAAGCTTGACTCTAGCGCCCGAGGCTCCGTCAAGTTTGGGGATGCCTCCGGCGTGGAGATCAAGGGCGTCGGCTCCGTCATCTTCACCGTCGTGTCCCGGTGAGCACAGTACGCTCACCGAGTCTACTACATCCCCGCGTTGAGGAACTCCATCATCGACTTTGGGACAATTTGGATGAGAACGGTTCGCGCGTGGTGGTTGAGGACGGAGTCATGAGGATTTGGGATCGTCGTCGTCGCCTTCTTGCCAAGGTATCCAGGAGCGCAAATCAACTCTACGTCCTTAATGTGCAGGTGGCACAACCCCTCTGTCTCATTGCTTCGTCGAGACGACGAGGCGTGGCGATGGCATGAGCGTTTGGGCACCTTCACTTTGAGGCCCCTGAAGCGGCTCAGTGCCACGGAGATGGTGCGAGGCCTGCCGTGCCTCGACCAAGTGGAGCAGCTCTGCGACGTCTGCGTGTTGACGAAGCAGAGGCGACTCCCCTTTCCCCAGCAGGCGAGCTTTCGAGCCAAGGAGAGGCTCGAGCTTGTGCACGAGGACTTGTGTGGCGGTGTGACACCGCCACACCGGAGGACGACGACATTTACTTCCTGCTGCTTTCGTCGGCGACCTCTCCCGCTACATGTGGGTGATGGTCCTCGGCGGCAAGGAGAGAGGTCATGGGGACGCCATCAGCGCCACAGAAGTCTTCGCGGAGGCGAGTCGCGACGCAAGAATCTCGCAGCGTCTTTGCTTAAGACCGACAACGCGGCGGCAATTCACGGCGGTGAATTCGCGTCGTCATCGGCGGCGAGGGCATTCAGCGCCACTACTCCGCTACCGTCTGACAAATGGCGAAGTAACGGCGTCGTCGAGCGGCGCGCAACCTGAGACGGTTGTGGGGATGGCTCGGGCCCTCCTCAAGCAGAGGGGATGCCGGTATCTTTCGGGAGAGGCGGTGGTGACGGCCATCTACATCCTCAACCGCCGCTTACTAACGCGCTTCGGCAGCGGGGACGCCGTCGAGGCTTGGCATGGGCGCAAGCCGGCGGTCTCCCACTTGCGGGTCTTGGCCGCCCTCGTGTTCGCCAAGGAGCTTGGCCACATCAAGAAGCTCGACGGCAGGAGCACTCGGAGTGTTCATCGGCTACGCAGAGGGCTCGAGGCCTACCGCATCCTCGACCAAGACACGGCGTGCGCGCTGGCGGCGGCGCACGTGTTCGACGAAAGGGCAAGGATGGGCGTGGGACTAAGGCGGTGGACGGACGGCTCGGCTCGACGGCGACGACGACTTCTTTGTCGAGTACGCCCACCGAGGGAGCTTTCGGCGGCGCATCTACCCGAGCCCCCGAGAGCCTCCACCGACCCCAGCTTTGCCATCTCGGCAAAGACCACGCTCTCCGGCCGGGACCTCGGCTGCGATGAGTTCTTCGGCGGCTCCACCATACGGTAAACGCGCCACGCACTCCAAAGACCGACAGCACCACTCCCGCACGTCTACCCCACCACCGGCTCGTGTCGAGCACGGCCGATTGAGCTCGCTTCTCGCTCTCTCTCACGGACGAGGAGCGCGACGACGCACTACCACGACGGCGAGCCGTTGCGGTACCGTCTGTTGAAGAATCTTCGGCGACCGCCGGTGCCGGACCGGTGCCTAATGACTGGAGGCGCATTGCACCTTGCGTGTGACGACGGCGAACCTCGGTCGTTTGCAGAGGCCGAGAGACACGCGGCATGGCACGCCGCGATGCAGTTGGAGATGGATGCGGTTGAGAAGAACCGCACCTGGGAGCTTGCTGACCTTCCTCGTGATCACCGCGCGATCACCCTTAAGTGGGTGTACAAGTCGAAGAGGGATGAAGTGGTGCCATCATCAAGCACAAGGCTCGCTTGGTGGCACGAGGCTTCGCGGCAAGCGAGAGGGGTCGACTTCGACGACGCCTTTGCTCCGCGGGTACGGATGGAGTCCGTGCGACTCCTCCTGCGCTTAGCTGCCGGGAGGGTGGCGTGTTCATCACATGGACGCGTCAAGTCGGCGTTCCTTAACGGCGACTTGAAGGAGGAGGTCTACGTGCACCACCCGCGGGATTTGCGATCCCGGCAAGGAGGGCAGGTCTCCGCTGCGCAAGGCCCTCTATGGCTTGGCGGCAGACGCGAGGGCGTGGAATGCCAAGTGGATTCCACGCTAAAGGGATGGGCTTCGAGCAAAGCCCGCGACGAGGCGACCATCTACCGACGGGGCAGTGGAGGAAATGCTCTGCTTTGGTGGGTGTCTACGTCGACGACTTGGTGATCACCGGCACCAAGGATGCGGAGGTGGCGGCATTCAAGGAAGAGATGAAGGCCACCTTCCGGATGAGTGACACGGGACTCTCTCCTTCTACACGGGGATCGAGGTGCACCGGGATGACTCGGGATCACGCCGACAAACCGCCACGCCAAGCGCGTCGTTGAGCTAGCTGGGCTCACCGACCGCAACCGGCTCTCACTCCGATGGAGAGGTCAAGCCGAGCCGCGACAAAGACGGCGGAGGAGGTGGGGCCACTGCAGTCTGCGGCGTCTTGTGGGGAGCCTTCGCTACCTCGCCCACACGGCCGGCCGGACTGGCATTCTCCGTCGGGCTCGTTAGTCGGTTCATGCAATGATCGACAAGCGGAGCACCAAAGAAGCTATGAAGAGGATCATCCGCTACGTTGCGGGGACTCTCGACCACGGCCTCTACTACCCTAGGTGCCCTGGGGCGGCACACTTCGTCGGGTACAGCGACAACGACCACGCCGGCGACATCGACACCAGCAAGAGCACGAGCGGGATCCTCTTCTTCCTCGGCAAGTGCCTCATTAGCTGGCAGCCGGTCAAGCAGCAGGTGGTGGCCCTGTCCAACTGCGAGGCCGAGTACATAGCGGCCTCCACCGCTTCGACTCAGGCGCTCTAGCTCGCTCGACTGCTTGGTGATCTCCTCAGCAGAGACACTAGAGCGGTGGAGCTCAGGGTGGACAGCAAGTCCGCTCTGGCCCTGGCAAAGAACCCCGTCTTCCACGAACGCAGCAAGCACATCCGGGTGAGGTACCACTTCATCCGAGGCTGTTTTGAGGAAGGGAGCATCAAGGCGAGCTACATCAACACCAAGGACCAGCTTGCGGACCTGCTCACCAAGCCCCTTGGGAGGATCAAGTTCCTTGAGCTCTGCTCCAGGACCGGGATGGTTCAACTTCCCCACAAGACGACGCACATACCATTACTATAAAAGCATTAGAAAATTTTCCTATATGGCACTCTCTACATAGAATCAGATCAGCTCATCAAAATGTTTATGTGCGTTTCTAAAAGAATATACAGGTGAAATGGCATCTGTGAAACAAGAAGATGATGCCTCCAGGATGAAGGGGCAGCTAGACAATGGTGAGAGTTAACCCTAGTCCTCTCTCTATGTATCTTACTGTGCACTGTCTTGTTATTTTCGGCTGTTAAAACCTAGCACTTAGAATATGCTCAGCATCCACTTTAGTGGTTAGGAGATATGCTGGAGCAGGTAGGAAAAGTAGAGAAGCCCTCTGCCTATAAAAGCAAGGGCAGTATCCTTGTGTAAGGACTAAGCTTTGCATTTTCGATTCCAACAAACGGCCTAGGGCCAAGCTGCCCTCTGGCCTTTACCCAAATCTGAGATCCATTTGTGTTTACCTGGCCAACAAATGGAGCTTAATATCCATTATTAGTCACAACAGCAAGACTATCTTAGCATATTTTTTCTCGCACAATATCTTATGAATAATAAACTAGGTTTCTAAAGATGTATCTGTGATTGCAAAACAATAGTATATATTGATTATCATTAGCCATTATTCTTAAGCATCTCTTAAGACCCAAAAAAGCTTTAGCTTTTGTGAAAAGCAAACCAATTAGATTGCTGTACAGGTAAACTGTTTCAAGACATTTCATGTTCCGTACATGTTTATGCAACACATGAGTATGTGACAACAACAACAACAACAACAACAACAACAACAACAACAACAACAACAACAAAAAAAAAAAAACTTCAAAATTATTAACGAGAACATCATCTACAAGACAAAAGGTTGTTAATTTGATTACCTGCACCCCGTCTTCTGAGATCACCCTAAACAATGGCCGTGCTTTTGTATCAGAGTTCCTTAGTACTTCCATTTTGTATGATGTTACTGAATGTGGGTCTGCAACAACATTTCATATACTAAATAAACAAATGCATAATCTAATGAGTATAAGAAATTTCAAAATGGATTAATAAATGCTGCAAACAGTTTTAGACAAGTTTGAAGGATGATTACCTGCTATTGACATGTACTTTCTGAAAGCAGTATATCCTTCAGGCCATATATCCTTTTTGTTATGGAAATGGTCAGAGTTAGATACTATCCTACCTGGAAAGGAACTCACAAAACAGAAGTTTGTCACACAGCAAAGGAAGGATTAGAGAGCAAATTCAGATTAATACATTGGGATAAAAATGTTAACATGAAAAAGTTAAATATCGCACAACATTATAAACCAATCGCTAAGTTCAAGTCATGGTAAGCAAACAAAATTATTCAGTCAAATGCTTTTATTACATAAGTATGCACAGTAAGAGTGACTGCAAAGTGAATAGCCAGAGTGAAGTGACAATAAAACCTTCCAAAAGGAACTCAAAGGTAAAGAAGAGCAAAAGAAGTTCCAATATATCCTATCACGTACAACTCTGCAAGTATATCTCTCAACCAACCTGCTTCAGCAATAGGGACTCTATAGAAGAAGGTGCCAGTAAAAATTAACTAAAAGGGTACCAGTGATGCGTACTCAATGTTTACATGCTAGTATATCTTTTCAAGTGCCTGTGCTAGGACACTAGGGCAACATTTATGGTGTGTTTGGTTTGAGGAATGGAACCATTCTAGATGTGGTGGTGCATCATGAGTCCATTCCTCAAATTTGGTGGAATGGCTCCATTCCTCAAGACCTCAACCCATTCCATTCCACAAACCCAATCAAAAAGTGAGGAGTGAGATGATGATGGACTAACCCATTCCTCAAAGCAAACACCCTATAGTCACTCCTAGTGCTCTGAGTCTCAAAAGCATGGATATATAGCATAACCGGTATCCCTGAAACGTGTTTGGTATACAGTATCCACTATGTACAACCATTTTTTTCTTGTTCTCAGAAAGGAAAATATTTCAATCATACTGGCCATTAAATGCATTTGAACAAATTGACATTCAATTTAGAATGAATTATAATATAAGTAACCAAGATTCAGGGTGACTGGAGATGCAAACACTAATTGATCTATGGAATCAAAGAAATGATGAGGGTGTCATCATCACAGACAACTTTAAACTTTGCATCATATAACAAATCAAACAGAATGGCATAAAATTGGATAAACATGATCCTCAAGTTTTTTTATATCAATTTTTAAATTTGATGTAAGCATATAGCTCGGCTATTGTACCGTTTCTATCTGCTATATTGAGAATGTCATAAATAAAAACTATATTTGCAAGTGGAAATTCAATGGAATGCTTTTTAAAAAAAACAATCACAGTGTATACAGGAACAGAAATAGAATAGGTGCTACATTCTATGTTTCAACACATACCTAAATTGCTCACACGAAGGTTTCCTAGTTCTATTTGAGTCATTTCAGCATCCTCTCCATTTTGCACTGCTAGATCTTCTGACAAATTACCGCAAGGGTCTACCTTGTCTTCATAGGAATTAACATCAGAACCATCATGTTGAACGGATTTCCAAAGCTGCAACATAATTTCTGGAAGCTGCTGTGTGCTGAGAAATCTACAGAACGAAAAAGTTAAATGGTCACAACAAAAGAGTATCAGACAGGATAAAAGAACAACGTGAAGATACATCTATGTGCTCTGCTCCCAAGAAAACTTAAAAGATGATTTACTTCTGTAAAGTAGGTTAGGGACACATACTCCTTCACTTCTTCTAAGCTCCGACTGAAACTTGTTTGCTTGCATTTGAGATGCAAAGAAGAAACAAGGCCATTCAGAAACGGCACAGCTTGCTTCAACTTAATCCTGAGGATAATTCATAATTGGTAGTTCCAAGAAAAAGAAGCCAAATGATGTCAGAATTGATTCTACAGGACCAACCTTGCAAAATCATGAGTACCAAAGAATTGGACCAATATTGATTGGTCCAACCGCATGGACTTCAAAGCTCGGGTTGCAGGTACATTTGACTCATCCACCACAACCGCCGGCCACATTGCATGACCTGTTCAAGCACATCAGGCCCCGTTAGAGAAGACACAATAATTGTGGGTGACTGAGAAAGCCAGCAGACCACTAACATTAACAGATAGAAAATGGAAAGGGACACAAATGAAACAAATTAAACCAATCAGATGAAAGATCATGAATGTAAGCCCTTAAAAAAGGCAAGTGCATACACATGAGTTTATAATTCCGGAAGAGGCGAAACTACGAGCTAAAGTGGCAATTAGAGAATAAAACTCCAATTTAAAGTAGAAAGTGACCAAGACAGTAACATTTCAGGCAATCATCAAAATACCCTAAAAGCAAAGCTATGAAGGGCATTCGGGAAACTCTAATTGGAAACATTTTCTATGAAAGAGACTCAGTGAAATCATCTAGAACATGTGATGGAGCTCAAAAAACAAAACTGTGTTGGGAATCTAATGAAAGTTTTTTCACCCAACACCAGATATATGAGCACTAGACAACTGTACTCTGGTATATTTGAATAGAAATCTGTACTCTGGTATATTTGAATAGAAATTGAACTTCTGATGAAATGATACAGAAGATAACTAAAAAACCATCACCATAGAATTCAAGTTAATCAGATGATAACATCAGTGTTCAGAAATAGAGAACTCAAATGTTCAGACTACCTGTAATTTTTGCCCACACAAGGTCACCTGGGTCGAGACCCTGATAGTCATGAAAGCTAACAGCAAGTGCAAGCAACTCATCATGTCCCTTCTTATCCAGATTGGAAATTCCAAATTTCAGATTCAGGGACTTCATCTCGTCACAGGAGATGGAAAACTTTATCCTTTCATCTGCAAGGCTAAGGTCCTCTGCTTCACCATCATCATACTTCACCTGCAGTAATGTAGACCCAGTTATCAATCACTGGGTTAGTACATTTTCTAATTCAGACAATGGATGGGAAATTGAGTGGCAAAAAAAATAAACATCAGCTGTATCTAGCATCTGATACCTTAAAAATAAAGAATATTTATGAAAATACAGAAGGAATACAAGCAAACCTTATCCAATTAACTCAGCAAACGTTTGAGGATCCTTGCAACTAATATAATAACTTAAACCCAAAACCACAGGAAACAAAAGCATTTACACCACCAAGAACAGAGACCATACTGAATGCTTCTTGGTTGCCTCATTGTACCATGTGATGGAGCCCTTGTACCAATCATCATCCAGCGGCCAGAAAACCTGCACTGGCAATTAAAATTCCGATCACAACATCCCAGCATTTCCAAGAGAAGAAGACAAAATTGAGTTCATACCTTGCACACCAATCCAACAAAGGCATTAGGATCCGCAGTCTGAATATCCAACCTGTTCCAGAAACAGCATCAATACTGCTCGATTTTTAATTAAAAGGGATTTATTTCAGCTAAAGCCATCAAGCAAAATGCATGGGCGTATCCAACTCACTCGACCCATCTCCTCCCGACCAACCCCTTGGGCCTGCCCGGCCGACGCCTCTCAGGTTCTGAGAAGCAAACCGTCTTCTCAGCCGCTCCACGGCGTCTCGTTCGCCCTCGCCGCCGTTCCGGCTCCTTCCCGTCCACGTCCCCGTCCCCGTCCAATGCAGGTGAGGCAGAGCTCAGGCTGAGCAGCTCGTGCTTGAGAGAGCCTTTCCGGCACGTGGGCCCAGCCTCCTCATCCCGCTCCAGCGGCGCGAGTGGGGCCGTCGTTGGCGAGGGCGGCGACAGCGACTCATCGACCCGCAGCTTTTTGCGACGGCGGCGGTAATATACTTTAATGGGAGGGTTAAGGTCGTCGAAGCGGGGCTTCTTCTGGGCCGGCGGGCGCGGGGCGGGGGCGGAGGAAGAATAGACGTGGCCGAGGGGAAGGTACCGGATAGGGCGGTCTCCGTCCTCCTCCTCGTCGTGCACGAAGCCGTTGCCCTCGACGGCGATCACCATGGCTAGCTTGGTATCCGCCCCACCTCGCTCTCTCTAGGGTTCGGCGAGCAATGGTGACGATGGCGATGGGGTTTGGGGAAATTTGGGGAGGGAACTTTTGGCAGGCTTTTACACGTGCGCCGTTATAAACGTCGGTAATTATCCGCTAGCCATTAAAAAAAATTGAGTTGCCATTGCTCTAAATTTTTTTCCCTCCACACCACTTCCATCAGATTTGGCTCTAACAGTATCAAACTGCGGATGTGAAAAGTTAAAAATACTCTCATGTCTAAATATGTAATTAATTTTTTTAACATCTTAACCATCTCAAATTAAAAAACTTAAAACTAGAAAGTTACAGATCTCGTCGATTTCTACAATATTTATATAAAAATTAAGTACAAAAATATGATTTTTCTAAGACAAATTAATCATATCAAATTATAACTTTTTTTTGTACGGAATTAAATAAAGATAATTTTTATACAAAAATTATAGATATTGTTAAGGTCTATAACTGTCTAGTTTTAAATTTTTTTATTTGAGCTCATTAAGATGCTCAAAAAAATTAATTGCATATTCAGACTTAGGGTATTTTTGACTTTTCACACCGATGGTTTCACTCCGTTAGAGTCAAATGTGACGGAAGTGACGTGAAGGACAAAAGAGTTCATAGCAGTGGCACCTATAAAAACTTAAATATTTTAATAACTTACATATAATTACCAATTTTATAATGATACACAGGTAAAAGTGACCCTCCCAGATCTTTTTCTTTTTTCTTGTTTTTTTCTTTTTGCCGTTTCCCGCCGGAGGACGCTGCTACACACGCCTACGCGGCTGCGGCTGGCGCCTGCGTTTGCTCCACAGATGGCACCGGGTTACTCGTTAGGGCGTGTTTGTTCTTTCACTTATCTCTCTGGAAATTGAGGGAATTTCCTATATGAGCCATAAAAAAAAAGATCGTAATTCTTTGTTTTGTCACTGAAAAAGTCATGTGGACTCTTTTTTTTTCTCTTCATATCAAATTTCAGATGTGAAAAGTCGAAAATACCCTTAGGTCTAAATATGGCATTAATTTTTTATAGTATCTTAACGATTTTAAATGAAAAAATTCAAAACTAGAAAGTTGTAGATCTCGTCAAAATCTATAATTTTCATATAAAAATTATATTTATTTACTACCGAAAAAATATGATTTTTCTAAGATATATTAATCATATCAAATCATATCTTTTTTTAAATTAAATGAAGATAATTTTTATATAAAAATTGTTGATCTCGACGAGATGTACAACTTTTTAGTTTTGAGTTTTTCCATTTGAAGTCGTTAAGTTACTCAGAAAAATTAATGGCATATTTATACTTAATGATATTTTTGACTTTTCACACCTGCAGTTTGCACAACGTTAGAGCCTAATCTGACGGCAGTGGCACGGAGGGCAAAAAAAATTAGAGCAGTGATGCTGAAGTCCATTGATTTCAGTGGCTCACTTGAAATTGCAATCTTTTTTAGTGGCTCACAAGAAATTTCTTCCTCAAAAATTATTTGGTAGTCACAGAGAATCAACTTTAGAAGCTCTGCCAAACAGGACATGAAGACTCATCCTTTATAATGTCCACGATATTTGACTATATTTGTCCTCAATGAGATCCACGGGTGCAATATTAGATCTGCAACTCGCAGATCTTGATCCTCTGCATGTAATGTTAATAAAAAGCTATTTTCTCCGTTCTAAATTATAAGACGCTTCGACTATGCATTGCAAAATGGATGAAACAAAAAAATCAAAGCGATTTATAATTTGGAATGGATGGAGTAACATATAACAAAAAAATATAAAATTTGGTTAAAAATAACACACAATTATCAATCTATTGTCACTAATGAATCGGAAGTTCACGATAATTTATATTTAATCTATTACTGACAACATAGTGCATATAAATTATCCTAAGTTTACATAAGCTTGCACCAAATATTAGTTATAGACCTCTAATTGAAAACGAAAAAATAGAAAAACATACGTTTCTAGCCCTGTAGGTCACCCGTGGGTGAAATATGATATCTGCACTCAACTCAGCGCCATCATGGACCCTGACCCAAAGACACCTACACACTAAAGGCATGTTCCTTTCATTTTAGAACAAGGGGTTAAAGGAGATTGAGGGGGGATTAAGCCCTTACAAGTCAAAATCTCCATCAGTCCTCTTCAATTCCCTCTAATTCTTTTCATTCTAGGGTCAAACAAACAAGGCCTAATAGCTGCGACGCCCGTAGGTGTATTGTCATCCCTAGTTTGGTCACGATGGGATGGTCCTATGATTCTATAGAATGGCTTCGGGAGTGTTCGGCTGTCATTATAAGCCGGCTTATAAGCCATGGTACAGTATTTTTCTCTCTCAACAAATCAGCCGTACAAATCAACAAAAGCGGCTTTACGAGCAGCCGAATAGAGCCTTCATTTTGGCTCGAGGCCTCATTTTGGTTCAAGAGATCGAATGGTTTCATATTTTTACTGGTTTAACAGAATGGTTTTGAGTAAACAATGATCATGCCTGTGGGCTTGCAACAAGAATAAATATTGCCACGATAATTCTAAGTCTCAAGGTTTAAGGTTGTCTTCTGGTTGCTTGTTCGTCGACTTAGATTAGCACCAACAAGCATCCCATTACAGTAACTAGTACGAGCCGCGCGCCCCTGCGCGCGGAGTGCAGGCGACCACTGTTTGGTCCATGCAGGCAGGCGTTGTACGTCACAGGCACTGGTGATGTATATGGCCAGGATGCATTGAAGCATATATATTTGCATGTTATACAGATACGGCGAGGGCAAGCAAAAGTTGCAAAGTCTGCAAAGGTAGAATTCATACGGTAGAAGCAGTGGTGATGTACAAAGGTAGCGAATGACCACAGCAGTGGATATGGACATATAGGATCCACATACTACACATGGCTAGCTATATGATACATATGAGTGTTTGATTTTTTATGGCACCAGATGGTGTGACGAAGTCTGCGATCGCGGATCAGGTAAGGCGGATGGATGAACATCATGATTCAATATGCCCACACGTCACTTCAGGAAACACTGCCTTTTTTCAACGAAGGTTCGTGTGCAGTCTGATGGAATCATATGTTGCCTGCAAAGCAGCATAATACACATTGAGGTGGTTCTTAGGACAAAAGTGTGTAGAGGTGAGGCAAATAGATGGGCATTGGTACCTTGTCTTGCTTGAACTTGCTGAATGCACCATCTATGTCCGTGCAACGCTGATGCAGATCCTTGTGCACCTGCTGAAAAGAGGCATCTAGATGTGTTATGTCATCCGCATTTATATGTTCGAGCAATTGGCCGTGCATCTCTGTAACTCCCCCAAGAGAAAGAACAAATATACATTTTCCATGCCAAAAATAATATTGCCACCTTTAGATATATTCAAATATTGCATCGACCTACATGATGTAACAATCATAAACAGTGCAGTACCTTCACAGACTAAAAGAAAATACCTTTGCTGTAGGAATGTTGTACTTGTGGCAGTTTTTTCATGAAACCTTTTGATCACTGTAATGCCGCAGCTTCTGATGAAGGACCAAAGGTAGGGATTCCAGCTTTGACAAGGTCATCTACAAGACAAGCAAGGAGAGGTGCTTTAGATCCAGGTAAAACTAATCCAACACCACAATTACGACAGAATGAGATGACATCTTCACTATTAGTTATCTCCAGACCGGGTATGCATATTGTATCTCCAGACTGAACAATGCTAGCATAACAAAGAGCATGCTCCCTTCCTCCTCCCATCAATGACCAATAGTTCATAGTTCATCAAGGTTTAATTTTTCGTCAGAAACCATAATGTCCATAGTTCTTTAGGGCTGAGCAAACTATTTTCGGCAGCATAATTCATAAATGACTTAATGAATTTATTTCCTTGTTCACCCAAGCAACCGATAGTAATTTCTTGAATTTTTTTTGCGTGATCAGTTAAATGAGAACCCTTGTTTTTGCTGGTTTGGCACAGCCTTTTACCTCAAAGCGCATGAGGCTTGAGGTTTTACTCAGAAAGGAAAAAACATATGCCCAGTACTTTAAATCCGAGCAAAATTTTGGGAAGCATCATGCATAAACAGTTCAATGAGATTACTGTCTCTACTGGATCAGAGACAACAAATACAATTTAACCAGAATTCCAGAACAGCTCCAAAGCATATCTTACCATGAACCTTGACGTGGCCATTAGTCACATGTAGGGATGAAAACGGATCGGATATGGACGGATATCACTGATATTACATTTGTTTTCATATTTCTGTCTGGATTCGGATTCGAATACGGATAGTGTCAACCATGCCGGATATGATACGATTAGATATCGACATCATAAATATGCTATTTGAGTATTCGGATACGGATAAGGTATTAGATGTTGAATATCCGGACTCGGATACGGACAGATCTAAACCCCTCTAAACGGATTCGGTCTCGAATACGGTCGGAAAATATCCGTACTGTTTTCATCCCTAGTCACATGATTTGGTTGTAGTAATATAAAGAGTAAAATGTCCCTATCAAATACTATGAATGAATCTAAGGCTGCATAGGCTCGCAATACATGGTCACAGGAGATAACGCCTCACCTGGAGCATAGTAAATTGTTTTTTATGCTTGGAAATTCCAATTCGAATACTTTATCCTGCATTTATAACAAACAGCCATACAAAAAAGTGGACCAATCAAATTTAAGCAAAAACAAAGGAAGATGTAGCAGAAAAGGCACATTATATACTAACCTCGAAATTGTACTGACCACCAGGCGCAATGTAGCCTAAGCCCAAATGTATTATTTGATGGACCAGAAGAACATGACCAAAACATATAAGGAAAAAACAAAGATGATAGATCTGTAGCAAACCGAAACAGAGACACCCATTGCAGCCACCCAACTATGAATCTGTGTTGAGTAAATACATCATTGGCAGTGGGGTGTGCTCAGTAACATAACAACTAGCAAATTATGTGAACTAAAGACATCATTGACAATGGACTTGTGCTCAGCAACAAATGCACAAAAATGTAGCAACTAATAAAAACAAAACAACACATGCAAAAGAGAATTGCTAGGCCAGAATGACATTGTCATCACAAAACCAATGCAAATCGTACGAATCATGGAAGAATGAAACAATTAATCATCACTGCACAATTCCATTGTCTCAGTTTAAAAAAAGTTCATCACAGCACAATCCCAAAACCTCAATAGATAACATGAAGAATGAAACAACTGATCATAGTTGTACAACAAAGGATATCAGTTGTAGACATGATCCGCACGTTTTAAAACAAGAGGACGGCAGGAGCCGACGGCCTCCTAGGGGAGGGGGCCAAGATCCTTGCAATGAGGAGAGAGAGCTGAGGGAAGGGGAGGAGGACAAGGGGAGAGAGTGCAGCTCCGCCATGCGCAACAAGCCAGATGCGCCGGTGTGGGGCTCAGCGATGAAGGCCGGCGAGCCAGATCCACACACGTACCCGGCCCCAGCGATGGCAAGGGGAGCAGGCACATGAGAAAAGGTCTTTCCCAGCGCACACAAGCATGGACAACTCACTCATGCCACGACAAAGAGGAAGGAAGGGAAGCCTCATAATCTGCTCATGCAATGCAACTTGTATCGGTGGAGGATATTTACGTGGCGTTTCTGTGGACAGGAATCTCCGGGCGACGTGGCTCAACGGTGTCCACGGGAGTGAATTTGGGGTGACGTGGACACAATGAGAGATTTCTGGGTGATGTAGCTAGTGCGAGCTGCTGCGGAGCTGCATCACTTTGTAGGCAACAGCTCTAAGTGCTGACCATAAAGTACTAACTTGCTCAAATACATGTATCTGCAAATGGAGATTTATTATGAAACAGCAGTGGTAGAAAAAGCTAGCTATATTACATACTAATAATTACTCTTGTCAGAAAAAGACTACCAGACATGTAAAGTTGGTCCCACAAGGTCAAGGCCCAAAAATGTGAATACAAACGTTCTCCTTAAATCGATCTCGGGAACCCAATCAATAACAAGCTGGGATAAAGAGAAAATACACATGCAGGCGCTTAAATAGAAAGCAGGTAAAACAACCATAAATATAGGGTCGAAACACTTCAATGAGGTCTATCTAATCCTAGTTTTTTTTGCATCATTAGCTCTATTTACAAATACTAAAAGGCACTAGGAAAAACAGAAGCTGCAATGTCCAATCTTTTCATAGGCAAACATTTCTTTTATATAGTAATGGCACACGGCATATACTAAATACGAAGACTAACCATCAGTCAGATCTTGTTACCAGCTCTGGCACCACAAATCCATCATTCCTTTTCTAGCATCGCTAAGGCACAATAAATGAATCCATATTAATTTGTGCTGGAACAGACAGAGGCAGGCTTGGCCGATTGGAACTCAATAACAGCGAGGTAGCTGGAAATGTAGACATCAAAGGAGCCTATAGAATTATCATTTGAGCCCAATCATCTGCTAAAATTATTCTAGCGGTATCCGAAAGAGCACACGAAGGAGCCCTGCCAAAACTACTGTAGCGATATCCAGTTAGTGTCATGGAAAAGCAGCCAGCCGAACAGTCTAACTGAAAATTTAAGAATCACAGGAAATCTAAGGATCACAATGGAACAATCACTAAGGTGCAATCTAACTCTCCCTAACACCTTGGTAGACTAACTCCACAAGAAAACAGCTAAAGAAATAGGCATAATATTATATCTAAAGCATTAGTTTTTGTATCATTGTTTTACAAAACAAGCAAACTTCACTGTAGCATTAGTATATCTAAAGAAACCAAGAAACATTAGTGTTCACAGAAGGACCGGAACAAATAAAGTAGAACCCAGCCAGATTAGATTGAAGGAGGACAACCGCTACATATGGGACAACGAAGGACTAAATATGATGCATCTTGCCTCAGGAGATAAGAGAATCTACAACTGAGTAAAGGATAAAATAAATCACCCGATTGGTCTCCAATCTGATGGCATAGGAAACTCTGAAAATACCGCAGAAGGAAGCAGAGGAGCCACCCCAAAAAATAGACAAAAATGGTAACTTTAAAGTTAGCTCAAGCCCCCTCCTTTCTCCAACAGCCCAAGAGGTAAACCCTAAAATGGGATAATAGACAACTAAGGCCAGCGCATACACCATGACTATTATCATCAACCAATAGGTCCTACCAAAACAAATAAGAAGAGATGAAGATAGAAAGGAAAAGGAGGCAAAGAGATTAAGTGACTAGAGGGAAAAGAAATCATACTACCTTACACAACGAAACTGCTAGGACATGTATTGGTTCGGTAAACTGTCCAGGCAACCCCTTGTTGGTAGCCATCCACAGCAACATAAAAATCGGAGGTAAAATAAACAAGGAGCCACTAACGTAACCTAATCTGGAGAAAAAACCAAAGCTAGAAATAATTAGTTAATTTGACATAGCCAAAAAAAAAAATCCTAGACCTGTAGGTCAGGAAACTTGCAGACCAACACCTTGCTGGTATCTTGATGTCATCAAAGGTCAAGTAAGCGAGATTGAGACAAAACTAAGATTCCATTGCACATAGCACCTGTTTGTTTTGAGGAGTATGGTGCAATGGAAGCCCAACACTGTGGCCGTCAATCTGACTCCCTTGTAGTATTCAGATGGCTTTGTCAGCACATGACCTGAAAGCATGGTAAGGCAATCAGGAAAACAAAGAATTAGCTTAGATATATCAAGTCCGAGTAGCTCATCAAAGAGCTTTAAGCATTAATGAACCAGCTGGTAAATTGGACAAAAAATACATGCACAACCAGGTAGATGAATGTCATGAACCGATCAAAATGAAAAGGCATAAGGGTACCCTGCCAGCTGATTGTTTGAGCAATGCGGACCAATAAAATTGCATTACACATCACATTTAATTTTTTTATTATTCCACACACCGAAAAAACACGTACGTGATGTCGTACATATTGAACTGTTAACTGAATAATATCCCAGTACATACAGAGCACCAAATGCTTTTTAGTTTAGTTTAGGTCAGTCTAAGATAGCAAACAATGACTTTGCACAACACAAGAAATGGCATTAGGGAGATTACCGCTATGAATGCCTTGGTGCAAGAAGAAATTACAGAGGAAGTAAAATCGGGCCGATAATAAAACATAACGGTGATGTATGGAACAAATATGGTTCACAGAACATTCCTAACTCAAGCTCTCGTTGTAGGTGAGGCGGATCATCAGCATATATATAACTGCATATATGAATATAGAATTATAGATGGCATATGAGAAGCTAAAGCCAAAGGACCAGAATAATTAGCCTCACTGAAACACTGTGTAGCGAGGCACTTTAACTCTAAATATTGTTGGGAAAAATGCATGGCCATATAAACAGTAACGTGGCCCCCAAATTTGGCTAAACAAATTGGTCTGAAAAGGTAATGGATCGAACTTTAGAATGGGAGCCATCAATTTGTGCGATTAGTAACCTTTTCTTGCATAAATTTTGCCATAACAATAGCAAAGTCCACCACTCTCAAATCCTATTTTTTTGTAACATTCGAAATACATGAAAGGAAAATGGAGAGGGGAAGTACCTAGGGGGCATCACAGAGGAGACATGGGTTCAAAAGGGGTGCATTCATGGGACTGCTTGATCCATAGCTGCAACTCCACTTGCCAATCTGGTGCCCTGCTGAGGGATGTGAGGAATATCAGCTGCAAAGTTTAGATATGGTAAGACGATGGATTAAGTCCACTTTTGGCTCCTCAACTATTGTGTCGGTCTAATTTTAACCCTCAACTACAAAACCGTCTAGTACCGGTACCCCAACTGTCAAAACCGTTCACTTTTAGCACCTGGGCGGGGCAAGGCTGTTTTGACCGACGTTGAGCGGGTTTTGACACGCAACCTCCATCTCAGTGACATGTGGGGCCCACGCATCATCGACTCAGTCCCTCACTCTCCATCCTCACAGCCACTCCCCCGACGCGTGGCTCCTCCAGGTACTCGAGCTGGTTGTCCTTGAGGAAGAGCATGATCTTGGTGCCCCGGCCAAGCCGCTCCCCCGTGGTATCGAGCGTGACGGTGAAGGAGCCACCGGCTTAGGACTCCCAGATGTTGTGCTTGGTGGTGACTAGGACCTTGTCAGCGATGAGGTAGGTGGAGTAGAAGCCGACCCCGAACTGGCCGATCATGGACACGTCGGTGGTGCCCGCCGCCAGCGCCTCCATGAACTCCTTGGTGCCCGACCGCGCGATGGTGCCGAGGTTGTTGACAAGGTCCGACTTGGTCATGCCCATGCGAGTCGATGATGGATGCGTCTTCTTGGCTTTTGTCCAGAGACCACCCGGATGAAGAGCTCGGTATGCGTCCAACTTCGACTTGTCCATCGGGCTCTCGAACTGGATCTTGTCAAGTGCCTGCATTGCAAGTTTGCCATTGATTAGATTATTGTTGGGTGTAAAGCAGAGCATTTCAATTCGCGAAACAGAGCATCCTGAATGACAAGAAGAGCGCAAAATAGAGGATCAATTCTATCACAAGATGATGATTTGATCGGGAAGGAAGGAGGAACTTACATTGGGCGGTTGTAGGAGAATTGAATCGACTGCTTTTGCTTGCTCTCGACAAGACTGTTGTAGGAGAATCGAATCGAATGCTTTGTTGTCACGGCTAGATTGCTGATAGGCAGGCGATCGAACGCTCAATTGATGCTTGCTTGGTTTCCTGTCACGCCGAGGTCGAACGAACAGATGGCTGCCTTTATAGGAGGGTAGTGGGTGGATCAGGGAGGGAGGGTTCGCAGCTGTTCCAGTGTCTTCGCAAGCTTTCCCGTGCTCACCATGATGTCCGCCCGCTTTCGCTTGCGTGCACTCCGGCTGTTCCAGCCTTCGCTTCTCTCTCTCTCTCTCTCTCTCTCTCTCTCTTCTCTCTCTCTCTCTCTCTGGCTTGGCTTGGCAATGGCATGAACCGGGCGTGCCCTGTGCGGTCTAGCAGGTTGATGATGCGGCGGAATCGGGACACCGCCTGGTCGGCGATCTGCCCGAGCGGCGGTGTCGGGGACCTAATACCGGGGTACCTAATGAGGTGGAACTAATGACCATCGAACGTTGACACTTCCGATTAGACGGGAACGCTATTGCGTTTTTTGTCCGAACGACGGAAGATTGGTTCCGCGCCGACCCCCGAGGGCTAGGCTCCGCCTCACCCGACGTCTGAGGGCGGGCTCCGCCTCGCCCGACGTCCGAGGGTCGGCTCCGCCTCGCCCGACGGTCGAGGGCAGACTCCGCCTCGCCTGACGAGTACACCATGCGCCTTCATAATGATGAGCATAGGGTACGACATGACATTCGAGTCAAACGCAGCACCAAGGACCATGCCCTGCACCGTGGTAGGAAAGTACCGCCAGGGTACGACGGGATGGGCGCTTTAGACCATTCCGGGCATGGCAGAGTCCGAATAGTGTTGTAGGCGGCGCCTTTAGCCCTCGGACACGGAACCTGACATAGACATACGACAACCACTATGGTCCAAGAAGAGACTAGCGCCCTCTATAGTGACGAACGTACAGTCACCGTGTCGTCCACTCCCCACAGGGCTACAGGTCAACACCCTTGTCCGACACGCCGCTCGGAGGGGCGGGATGGGACGTGACCACTTGCAGATCCGGTAAGGGCATGGCGTTGTCAGCGCACAGGCATCCGGCGAACGTGCCAATCCCTGACACCGTCTGGCCGTGTCAGCGAGGCTGGCTCAGCGGGAAAGGAGGACCCAACACCTTCGGGGGGGCTTCTTGGCCTCTGGTTTTTCCATTTTCTCCCATCTGTAACCCCTGCTCCCCCCTTGGTATATAAAAGGAAGGGCAGGGCCCCCACTAAGGGGATCAACTCTTGACAGATAAGTTCAACACACACAACACTTCACACACAGCTGAGCAGCGACCAAGCTCTCGGCGACCTTTTCGACCATTCCATCAGAGACTTGGGACCCATCCCTCTCTCGACCGTTTGTACCCCCTACTACGAACCCTTTTGGTACTAATAACACGAGCAGCAACAGACTGGACGTAGGGATGTTCGGCCCGAACCAGTATAAACCTCATGTCCTTTAGTGCACCATCCGGGCCTAACGCGCATCAATTATAAATTATTAGCCGGTGTTTGTTCGAAACACCGATAGTTGGCGCGCCAGGTAGGGGCCTTTGCACGTTCCAAATCAGACCTCGGATGGCTAACCACGCAATCAGCTGGGTCCCGGGCGCACATGTGCATTTCGGTGACCTGGACTTCATCGTCACGGTTGGAGGAGAGTTGGCATTGGCCCATCTCACCATCCAACCTCTCCCCTCCATCGGCTCCGGCTACCGGAGGCTTGAGGGCTAGCCCGGTGTCTCCCTTGGACCCCAGCCATCCAGGGAGGCCCTGCGCCGCCTCACCCTCTCTTTGGAATGCTCCACACGGAGTCGACGGCATTTTCGTTCGGTCTCCGCAACGCCGCTGCGACCGTAAGCCACCTTGTGGCCCAGCACGCGATCTCGTCCCCCGTGAACAACGAGTTCGTAGGGATGATCGAAAGCATCACAGAATCCCTCCACGGCCTCCTCACGGAAGGCCCATGGTCGGACTCTAGCTCTGACTCCGGCAGGGGGAGCCATCATCCCTCCCGGGAATGCTTCATGGCAGAAACCTCCGAGGGACACGTCGAAAGCGCCTCCGAGAAGGATGTCACCCGGCGGGCAACCTCAGCAATAGAGCTGAAGGAAGAACGGCGGCCCCGCCCCATGTAGGGGTGGAGCAGCTAAAAGCCCGAAAACGGGAGATCAATGAGGCCAGACAACAGCTTGTTCGGGAATACACGTTGGTGGATCGGGAGATCGAACGCCACGGAGACGGTGGGCACGCACGCACCGTAGCTCGTGACATGAACCGAAGGATCATCGCCGATGATGAAACCCTTCCACGCTTCGCTCGGGCAAGCCAGAACCTCGCCGTCTCCATGGTCTTGCTCCATGGCCTTCCAGAGGCCGCAATGCTTGAGGATCGCTGGGCCCACCGCGAAATCCGCACCCTGCTCGAGCGTGCGGCGGCGCAGCAGGCGGAAAGCTCGTTGTCTCGATGACGCAAGCTCGACACCAGCCAGCGTACGCCCTCAGTATGTCCCGCCAGGGACGCCTCAGTCCACCAAGCACCATAAGGCGGCGGGCAGCGCGTTGCGACCCAGATACATCAGCATCTCGGCCGCGACCACGACGCACGCAGCACCATCAATGCCCGCAGGCGTACCTATGGTGACCCAAGGGAAGGAGCCCGCCACGGCTATCATCCTCGACGCGGCGGATGCTACGACAGCGGTGAGGACCGGAGCCTAAGCCCCGGCCTGCTAGGCCCTCAGGCCTTCGGCCGGCACATCCTCAACACTACGTTCCCGCCAAGGTATCGACCACCTACCAACATCCCTAAGTACTCCGGGGAGACAAACCCCGGGCTTTGGCTTGAAGACTATCGGCTTGCCTGTCAAGCTGGTGGTGCGGATAATGACGACTTCATTATCCGCAACCTTCCACTGTTCTTGGCTGATTCGGCCCAGGCATGGTTGGAACACTTGCCGTCTAACGCAATCCAGAGTTGGGAGGATCTAAAGGAGATCTTTGTGGGAAACTTCCAGGGCACGTACAAACGCCCTAGGAACCCATGGGACCTCAAGAACTGTCATTAGAAGGCCGGTGAGACCCTCTGTGGGTACATCCGACGCTTCTTCCGATAGTGCAATGAGCTCCCTAACATCACCGACGCCGACGTGATAGGAGCCTTCCTATCTAGGATGACCTATGAGTCCTTGGTGCATAAGCTGGGACACAAGGGCCCGCGAACCACCAAGGAACTCCTGGACATCACCACCAGCCATGCCTTAGGAGAAGAGGCGGTCGAAGCAATCTTTGACCATTTCGACGGCAAGGCGAGGCGGGACGAGGGCTCTAGTGAAGGCGCCTCCAACTATTCCGCCAAAAGGATGAATAAGAAGCAACGGCGCGACGACTCGCTCGTGGCCGCTGCCAACCGCAAGGGTGGTTGGAAGCCTACGGAGGGCACTCCGAATCACTTGAAAAAAATGCTCGAAGGGCTGTGCCCGAACCACGCCTTTCCCGTAAAACATCTGCTCAAGGACTGCGGCCTTATGCGGAAGTTCTTGGTCGGAAGCGCCAACAAAGGGGAGCAGGGGAAGGAACCTACCCCCACTGTCGACAACGCCGAGGAGAAGGACGATGGCTTTCCGATGCCGAACGACTGTCTTATGATTTTCGGAGGGTCGGCGGCCTATGACTCCAAACGCCGTCAGAAGGTCACACGCCGCAAGGTCTACACGGCCCAACCGGCCACACCTCCCTTCCTTTGGTGGTCGGAGTCCGCCATAACCTTCGACCGGACCGACCATCCGGATACCGTCCCGCACCCAGGGAGGTATCCGCTTGTCGTCGACCCAATCATCGGCCCAAAGTGGCTCACCAAAGTATGCCCCCCGAACGGTGATCAAGTCCCAGGTGCTGGCTGACTTCATCGCGGAGTGGACCGAGGTCCAGATGCCACTGGCGGTCATCGATCAAGAGTACTGGACGATGTACTTCGATGGGTTGCTGATGAAGAAGGGCGCCGGTGCGGGGTTGGTCTTCGTATCACCCCTCAGGGTCTGCATGAGCTACATGGTTTGGCTCCATTTCCCCTCATCAAATAATGTGGCCGAATACGAGGCACTCGTCAATGGCCTATGCATCGCCATTGAGCTGGGCATTCGACGCCTTGACATCAGGGGCGACTCCTAGCTTGTCATCAACCAAGTCATGAAGGAGTCGAGCTGCCATGATGCTAAGATGGCGACGTACTACCAAGAAGTCCGACAGCTAGAGGATAGATTCGACAGCCTCAAACTCAATCACATCCCGAGGCGCCTCAACAAAGCGCCAACGCACTCACAAAAGCAGCGTCCGGCCAAGAGCCGGTGCCGATGGGTGTCTTCGCCAGCGATCAACACAAGCCCTTGGTGCGCTACGAGGGGTCAGAATGGGCCAACGATGGCCCATCTGATCCGTCCTCGAGGGCTGACCCACCGACTGCTCTGTCCGACCCCGAGGTCATGGAGCTTGAAGAGGATCCAGCAGCAGAGCCCGACCCTCTGGACAACTGGAGAACACTCTACCTCGACTACCTCCTCCATGACACACTGTCGACGGACAAGACGGAAGCTCAACGGCTCGCACGTCGCGCCAAGTCTTTCGTTCTTGTAGAGGGCGGACTCTACAGATGGAGCCACATCGGGATCCTATAGCTCTGCATCCCCAGCGAATAGGGAAGACTTCTGCTGAGCGACATCCATGGTGGGGTCTACAGTCACCATGCCATGCCGAGGACCTTGGTTGGAAACGCATTCCGAC